CTTCTCTCTTTATATATATATATATATATATATATATATATATATATATATATATATAAAGAGAGAGAGAGGGCGGGGTCCTTTTACCTAGATTTATTCCTTTCAATAACTCATGTTCTGTATCAAATTTCAACGATCTAACCGTTGAATTTAAAGTTCTTAATTAATGTATAGATCAAATTTACAAATTTAAAAAAAAATTAAAAATCATTTGATACTTCATTTAATTAATTCAAATTGACGGATTTGATTCCTCCACATACACACGCACACATGCATGCATACACACGCGCGCACACACAGATATAATTTACATATAGTAAAAGTAAAAAAAATTAAATTGTTTATTTCAAATAATTTACATATAGTAAAAGTAAAAAAAAATTAAATTGTTAATTTCAAACTAAAAACTTAAAATTTAACAAATTTAAATTAGTTTGTTCAAATAAAATATTTAATAAAGTAAATTAAATTTTAAAAATATTAAACTTCCCTGAAAATTTAAAATTCCTCGTCCAAAGCCTAAGATATATAAATATCGAATTATTTCTACTCATACCTAATAACGGTGTCGATCGGTTACGTTGAATAAAATGAGAGAAAAGAAAAAGTACTAAAAACCACAAAAATTTACAAAGGAGAGAAAATAAATTTAATATCTAAGGTATATATATACAGTACTATGTATATTTGTATCCTTAATATGCATTATCAATTAATAAAATGTCTAGAGCTTGTAAGAATTAGCCCTATAAATAGGTGGCCAGTCCCACATTCCTAGTATATGCTATTATCATTATAACTATTATTCATCCAACATGGTTCTCATTATTCTTTTCCTTTCTGCTATTCTTTCATCCCCTTCCCTTGCCTCTAGTGCGAACGATTTGTGTGTGGCAGACCTGAAGGGCCCACAAAGCCCTTCAGGTTATAACTGCAAGCCACGAAACACAGTAATAACAGATGACTTTGTGTCTAACTTAAAAGACAGCCCAAGCGCGTTCGTTACTGATATGCCTGGTCTCAATGGTCAAGGTATCGGTTTAGCACGTGCAGAACTGGTTCCTGGTGGAATGTTTGGGATGCACACTCATCCTGGTGCCTGTGAACTCATAATCGTGGAGAAAGGTGAAATAACTGTTGGATTCATGAGTTCTAGGGAAGCTTACGTGAAAACGCTGAAAGTGGGAGATGTTATAGCTATCCCACGAGGACTGTTGCATTTTGTTTTGAATACTGGTAACGAGAATGGCACTATCACTGCATTTTATGGCAGCGAAAACCCTACTTTCCAATATCTTGGTAACCAATTATTTGGAACCGACGTGGCTTCTGATATAATTGCACAAACTACCCCCATTGACATGTCTCAAGTCATCAAGCAGAAGGCTCTTTTCGGTGGCACCGGCTAGGGTTAATTCAGACTTAATTGCTAGCTATATAGCTTATAATAATAATAATAATAAAACTTGTTATTGTGTTCGATTGTTGATTTCAATAATCAGCAGCAGCAATACTAATTACTAAACTTTTGAATTTGTGTTTACGTGTCTCTTTTCCGTTCTTAAGTGTGTTTGATGTGTCTCCAAAAAAACATAATACTTGTTGTATGTTTGTGAACAAAATAACAAAAGCTGTTGCTTAAAACCTTTTAGTACTTTATTTAATTTATCACTTAATTAGTTTGTTTTTCGTCTGGATTTTCCTTTGCTTACGTACAAAGGCATTAATACGCGTGGGTATTTATGGATTCGTAAAGTACTGGTCCTGGTACATGAACATACATTCAAACAACACATAGTAATTAACTTTAAGAAATTATAATATATTAAATTTTAGATTGATTCATGGATAAAAAATTATTATTATTATTATTATTTTGACAGCAAACAAGTTATATATATGTATATATAAATGTAATGAGAAAGAGGATACAAGGTATAAGGGTACTAATCTCATACAAGTCACAATTATAGAAAAGTGAATACGGTATTCCCTCTTCTATAAACCAAAAAAGTAACTCCCCTACCTAACCGAACTAAATAGAAACTATTTTCAAAATACTACTAAATGTCAATACGCCTTTTCCTGCAAATGATCCTAACATTCTAATTGAATCTCCAACCTATTACACCCAACAATTACTTTTATATATGCATTGTCCCGGATTGTTGCACCATTTTGAGAAAGAGTAATGGAAAGATTTATGCAACGTATGCAGTCAAGACCAAGAAGAAAAAAGAACGTCTTTGAACTCTTTGTCATTGTCAAATTGTCCCCTTTAAAAGCATAGTGATTTCTATGTTTCCAAATGCACCATGTTGTAGCACACCATACTATGCACCACATTTCCAACTCTGAATTTGTTTGAAGCAATGGTAAGAAACTAAAATGTTGTACAATTTGTTGTGGTAATGGTGAGGGACAATCTAACCAATTGAGCCATTGTTTCCAAATACTATTCACCATTGGACAGGTGCAAAGCATGTGTGAAGTAGATTTAACATCTGTTTTGCAAAATATAAGTTGTTGTGGATCCAACAATATGTTCCTTTTTGACAAGCTTTTTGTAATTAGTATTTCGTCATGTAGTAGCCTCTACACAAATGTATGGACCTTAGGTTGAACCATAATTTTCCAAACTTGTTTGAACTTTTGTTCCATTGTATTCCTAATCCGTTCAATTTGAATAGCCTCGTATGTCAATTTGACCAAGAATGACCCCAAAGATTCAGGCAGCCAAGTCCATGAATCTGGATGATCTTAATTTATGGAGCTACATGCCTCAGGACCTAGTGTAAAGACTATTCTTGATCTAACTCCCATTCAAACCAATTCCAACGTCATCTAAATTCCCAAACCCAACTATCATCCCTCCACTACCCCATATCAACAATTACATCATTTTTCTATTATAAATTAAGAAATAGCATAGGAAAGGTGACTACTAGACATTTTTCACCAACCCAATTATCAAGCCAAAATCTAGTTCGAGTGCCTTCCCTAATCTTCCAACACACTAAGTTATCAAACTATTTATCTACATTTTCACTATCATAGACATTTAGTAAATCACGCCACCAAATAGAGCTTTTGGTTGCGGCGTTTCTTGTGCAAAGATTGTAGCATTCTTCGTACCTTGATAATAACACTTTTCCCCACATAGAGTTTGGCTGATGGAAGATATTCCATCTCCATTTTGCCAAGAGGGCTACATTTAACTCAAAGATGTTTTTTACCCCTAAACCACCATACTCTTTTGGATGAGTTACCTTGTCCTAGTTAACCCACAATATTTTCTGTTGACCTTCACTACACCCCCATAAGAATCTCATTTGAATTAGCTTTATTTGGTTACCAACCAACTTTGATATTTTGAAAAAAGATAGATAGAATAGGAGTAAAGATATTAATAATGAGTTGATTAAACATACCCCTCCCAGCCATAAAAAGAGTTTTACTTTTCCATGAAGATAACTTCTTCATTTTTTGTATGACTGGCTTCCATGTCTCAACTTTCCTTGGATTCACTCCAATTGGCAAACCTAAATAAACAAAAGTTAGTTGTAATAATTTACAGTTCAAGAAATGTGCAAAACTCTCCACAAAATTTCTTTCTACTCTAACTACTCCTAAACAACTCTTGAAAAAGTTGACTTTTAGTCCCAAAATTACCTCAAAACACCTTAGAACACTTTTGATCACAATTACATTATCAAGACTAGCCTCACCCAAAAAACATAGTGTCATCTACATATTGTACTATGCTTATGTACACTTGGTCTTTACCTTCCTTCAAACCTCAGAATAAATTTGTTTGGACTACCTTCCTTATCATACTTGTCAAACCTTCAGCAACCACAATAAAAAGAAATGGTGTTATAGTGGATCGTCCTGTCCTAGTCCCCTGTGTAACTTAAATTCTTCAATTGGACTTTCACTTACAAGAATTGATACATGGATTGTCTTCTCTCCAATCCACTCTATCCATTTGTAGGTGAATCCCAATCTTTGAAGCATATAGAGGAGGTAATGCCAATTTACTGAGTCGTACACCTTCTCATAATCCACCTTAAAAAAATGCTACCTCTTCTTTTTCTTTTTTCTTCATCTAAAGCTTCATTCACTACCAACACGCTATGAAGTAGGCTCCTCCCTTTTTAGGAATGTTGTAACATCCCGAATTTTCTACTAATATAATAGTTTAATTATTATTTATTTTTATATTTATTGAGATTAATTATTTTATTATAATTGTTTTAATTAATTAAATGAGTTTTATAGAATATTTTAGATGAATTAAATAAATATAAATAGAAGATAACTCTCATCTTACAAATCTCATATCGACTAGAGATAAAAAAGTATATAAGTTATGAATTTAGAAAAATAAATTATAAGAATAAGTTATTTAAATTTTCAAAACAAATTCAATTTTATTTTTTTTAATTTGGTATAAATCTTATTTGACAATAAAAGAAAGTATATTTACGAAAATGTATCACTATTTTTGTATTACATTACTTACAAAGAAAAAAAATGTGTATAAAGGGCTTAATAATAATCCACTGTATAAAATGTGTATAATAATAATATTTAACGGGCTTAATAATAATGCAGTACAATCATTTAATTGCAATTTACCATGAATAATAAATATTTTAATCCTTATAATAATTATTTAAAATAATTATGTAAATTATGATTTTTATTGATTTATAATAGAAAAAAATTTTCCATTAGCGGTGCATTAGCATTAAATTCATATTTAAATCTAAGAGTTTATAAATAACATCCAAATCCCACACACCATGGTATGTTATTCACAAATTTAACTCCATGGTAAGAAAAATAACCAGGAGTTCATGAAAAAAAAAAATGGCACGTTTCTATTTGACTATGATCGCAATTGAAATAGAAAGTGTGGTTTAACTTTGTGGCTCTAATTGGTTGGTATAAATTGAAGTCAAATTTTATGCCTGTTTGTGTTTGCTATGACTAATTCAAGGTTGGTAGAAATTCAAGTCCGGTTGCTGCCCGACATTATTGTTGTCTCATCTTCTTCCCATTATCTTTCCGCAATTTCTCCCTCACCCACGCCTCATCTTCCTAGATCCTCAAGGGGTCAAACAAAACACTATGTTTTTCCTAAAATATATATATATGTATAAAAAAAGTCCAAACGCGTGGTATTAAACTATTAATATATACTTTGTTCGTATTAAAGACATTTCAAAAGAAATAAGAAAATAAAATAAATTTTGTTATTTAATTAAGATGTTAAGTTTAAATCCTTCAAATAAGTTAATCTAAGTCCGTTCATGTGTAGCTAATACCCTAATACGTGCCCAAATATTCGATACAATCCAAACTAATTGCAAATAATCGTTTTGATTTTATTAGGGTTTACATTTTATTTTTTAATGTATTGTGTTCATATTAAAATCTTACATATACAAAGACGCTGGCAAATTACCATGGTCTTGTTGCAGATTTAGATCAGTGATCGTTTGGTCTAAGACAGAAGTTGGAGCTCATTCTTTCTTAACTATGGTATAGTTAAGTAGTATAAAGTTAGAAATAGTAATTAATTTTTTGTTAGGATTGATAAGTGCATTTAAGGTAAATATTTCTTCGATTTGATTCTTAGTGACAATCAATCAAGAGAGGATTAAGGACTTGAAGCTTAAGTGATGTGAAGAGTTTAGTTTTTGGCTAGAGAGTGATTGTTTCAATTGAGTTCAAAAAGGGTAATAGAAACAGAGTAATTAATTGCAGTGTTAGAAACCAGTTTGCTAAAACAATTGGCTTGAGCCATTTTTGCAGAATTTCCAAATCTGATAAATTCGCTCAAGCTAAATTAAAGTTGCTTGAGCCTTTCCTTTCTAATGAAAATCATGATCTCTTTGCCATTTTTTTCGCTTAAGCGAATTTCAAATAGCTCAAGCCCTTTTTCCCAAAATTTTCAAGAACTCTTTGCCAAAATTTTGCTTAAGCCAATTTCAAATAGCTCAAGCCCTTTTTCCCAGAATTTTCAAGAACTCTCTGCCAAAATTTCGCTTAAGCCAATTTCAAATAGCTCAAGCAAATTTGTCCCTGGAACATCCATGCAGTATTTGGCTTAAGCTCTTTAAAAATCGCTTACATGATTTGGTCCCAGTGCCTACACCCGTCTTTTTATAATAAGTATTTGGAGAAAATTATGTGTTTTATTGTAGTTATTTATATATCTTATTTTAATTATAATTGTGTTGTAAGAAATAGATATATTTTATATATTATATATTTGTTAGTTATTAATTAAGTATTGTATTTTATTATAATTATTTGGATTGGAAGAAATATGTTTATTAGATATATTATTTAATTATAAGTTTTAATATTTGAAGGAAAGAAAAAGATAATCATGGTT